AGTGTCGGTCGTTCTCGGAAATAAACCAGATTTTTCCCACCCCACAGGCCGGCCATTTTCTCTCGGAGAAGCTAGCTAATGTAAATGGTTTCTCGAGAGAAGCAATTTTACGTGTATATTGTAGGACATTTTCATCGACACCCCGCCGAGGGTAGGAGTGGTTGTGACAAGTGCTTGACGGAGGTCTAACACGTCCCGGGGGGGATCCTGGAACAAGAGTCTCCCACTTTGGATTCCCCTTCCAAACTAAAGGAGAAACTGTGTCATACCCCAATATGCCCATGTCCACTTCCAGCCCTGCAGTTTTTTTTCTTCTCGACCCCAAACAAATACAAAGAGCTTTTGTTCCGACATCTGAAAAAAATAATAAAACCAGTGCAGTTTGTTGGATAAAGGAATGGGCGAGAGGGGGTGAAAGAGAGAGACAGACAGACAGGGACAGAGAGAGAGAGAGCGAGNGAGAGAGAGAGAGAGAGAGAGAGAGAGAGAGAGAGAGAGCGAGAGAGATATAAACAGACAGACAGAAAAAATATATGTTAAAGATAAAAAATCATATAATCGAGACATTACACATTATGTGTGATGATTAGTGAGGGAGAGAGGGATTATAGATAGGCAGCAGAGAAACCGAGAGAGAGAGAGAGAGAGAGAGAGAGAGAGAGAGAGAGAGAGAGAGTGAGTGAGAGAGATATAAACAGACAGACAGAAAAAATATATGTCAAAGATAAAAAATCATATAATCGAGACATTACACATTATGTGTGATGATTAGTGACCGTTAGTCAATGATTATTCGGAGGTCATGAGATGCCGTCTGGTGTGAAGTAGGTTTTAGAAAAACATTTTCTTTGCCGTGCCAACGTTTCGATCTTTATTGAGATCATCTTCAGGGTCTGGGATTTATAAACATTTTTTAAATTTTACAAGTACATATAGGAAGTAAAAAAATGGATTTATACAATGCTATATATTTTAGATTAAAAAAATATAATGAATTTATATTATGAATGAATGAATTTTAGATAAAAAAATTTTAAGTTTTTAAAAAGTTAGATATTTATGTTTTATGTTTACATACGTTGGGTTTTGACACACATCTACACGGTAAAAAAAACGCTTTGAGTTAGAAAAATATTTTGATTGAATCTAAAATTTTCTAGCATTGTATAAAATCATTTTTTCACTTCCTACATGTATTTGTAAAATTTAAACAATGTTTATAAATCCCAGACCCTGAAGATGATCTCAATAAAGATCGAAACGTTGGCCCGATAACGAAAAGGTTTTTCTAAAACCTACGTCACACCAGACCTCCTCTCACGATCTAAATATTTTAATCTAAAATTTTCTAGCATTGTATAAATTCATTTTTTCACATCGTACATGTATTTGTAATATGTAAACAATGTTTATTAAAAGATGATCTCAATAATGATCGAACCGTTGGCACGATAAAGAAAATGTTTTTCTAAAACCTATGTCACACCAGACTGCTTCTCACGATCTCCGAAGAATCAGTAAACATTATGTTAATAAAAATGACATAACTTTTCTACTAATAAAAATTACGTATTCACTGGTCAAAAGGCTGATAGTTTCATAATATAAAAATTTATTACCATATTATTAATGTAGGAAAAAGTGTACAAAATTGTACATATTCATTTTTATGGAGTTAGCTTTAGATGTTGAATGAGGGGGAGGAAAAGTGGATCGATGAGGTAAAACATGGGTGAATCGGGGGTATGGTGAAAATTCTTCAGTTCAAATGCAAAAATACGATGGATATGTTAAACGAAGGGTAAAAACAATTCTTGCTGATTGGTTTAAGGGGGTGTTCGAGTGTGCACGTTGACAGTCAAATTGCATGAGTGCTTGGACTGAGCAAATCGAAAGACAAAATCTAAATTGGAGGGTGATGAAAAATAAAATCGTTTGAGTCTTCAATTGTAAAGATGATTTGTATGTTTCTATATACGCTGGACTGAATTATTTGAAACGGGTTGATTTAGATTAGCCAAGCTAGAACATCTAGCCAGGTTAATTGTCTGTACAAAGATATAAAGAGGAAACAAAGTAAGACGGTTTCTCTTTAAGAAAAAAAGACATCCGGTCTTATGGAACAAATATTCCAACTACGAATGTATTCAAAAATTTAAAAAAATAGCCACATTAAAAATTAAAAAAGTCATGCATACATAAACTAACCAAGCTGACATTTGAAAATCAGTTACAATTTATGTTGAATAAATTAGGAATAACAAAATTGAAGAAGATGGTAGAAGGTGGGTTCTAATGTTAAGTTAATGACAGAACAGAAACAGAGATAATTATTGTGAAGATGTACCGGGCACATTAGGAGTGTTATCCCTTAAATTAATTATTAATAACATAAATGTCACCGTAAAATGTTTTACATGCCAAACAGGATAAAAAAGATCATTTTGGTTTAAAGTTTAATTTTTATTTTGATCGAGGCATCTCATTTTAAAAGTTATTACAAATTCTTTTCACTCCCCTCTATCTCATAAAATGATGGGTGGTCCGAACCTTCGCATCCCGCGAGGCGGGGGTTTAACAACGAAGGTCATAAGCACAGGTGTAGGTGAATAACCACCAAAAAATGATGGGCAAAATTCAATTTGGATAACAACAAAGGATAGAGATATAAAAAGCCTATGAAAAAATGTGGTACAATTTGCAAAATTAGGCAATGCCACCCGTCAAACACATAGTTTACGACTTACAACTGAATACATTGGAGAAATTGATCGATATCTACATTAGGGGCATAGGGCAAGAGCAACGGTTTATGCTGGGTTTCATAATAATCTATTTCATAATTAATTAAGGTTTTTAGTTAAGATAAAAATGTTAATGGCACGAGCGAGTTTCGAACCCACGATCTTCGGCTAGATACGCCACTGCTCTACCACTCGAGCTATCGTGACCTCAATCCACTCGTACACTAACTTCACGTCTCAACCCCACCTTTTGAATTTTCTCTCCGTTTTGCCATTTTTCAACTTTTTATCTCGACTTAAAACCTTAATTAATGAGATAGATAATTTCCTATATCCAACAAACTGCACTGGTTTTATTATTTTTTTCAGATGTCGGACCAAAAGCTCTTTATATTTGTTTGGGGTCGATTTATACAATGCTAGAAAATTTTAGATAAAAAAAATGAATTTTACAATGCTAGAGAATTTTAGAATAAAAAAATGAATTTATACAATGCTAGAAAATTTTAGATAAAAAAAATGAATTTATAAAATGCTAGAACATTTTAGATTAAAAAAATGAGTTTATACAATGCTAGAGAATTTTAGTTAAAAAAATGAATTTTTACAATGCTAGAGAATTTTAGATTAAAAAAAATAAATTTATACAATGCTAGAAAATTTTAGATTAAAAAAATGAATTTATACAATGCTAGAAAATTTTAGATAAAAACAAATAAATTTATACAATGCTAGAAAATTTTAGATTAAAAAAATGGATTTATACAATGATAGAAAGTTGTAGATAAAAAAATGAATTTACATAATCCTAAAAAATTTTCGATTTAAAAAAATAAATTTGTACAATATTAGAAAATTTTAGATTAAAAAAATGAATTTATACAATGCTAGAGAATTTTCGATTTAAAAAAATAAATTTATACGATGCTAGAAAATTTTAGATTAAGAAAATGAATTTATCAAATGCTAGAAAATTTTAGATAAAAAAATGAATTTATACAATACTAGAAAATTTTATATTAAAAAAATGGATTTATACAATGCAAGAAAATTTTAGATTAAAAAAATGGATTTATACAATGCTAGAAAATTTTAGATAAAAAAATGAATTTATACAATGCTAGAGAATTTTAGATAAAAAAATGAATTTATACAATGCTAGAAAATTTTAGATAAAAAAATGAATTTATACAATGCTAGAAAATTTTAGATACAAAAATGAATTTACATAATCCTAAAAAATTTTCGATTTAAAAAAATAAATTTATACAATGTTAGAAAATTTTAGATTAAAAAAATGAATTTATACAATGCTAGAAAATTTTCTATTTAAAAAAATAAATTTATACAATGCTAGAAAATTTTAGATTAAGAAAATGAATTTATCGAATGCTAGAAAATTTTAGATAAAAAAAATGAATTTATACAATGTTATAAAATTTTAGATTCAGTCAAAGTATTTGTACTCACTCAAAGTGTTTGTTTTCTGTGTAGATGTGTGTCAAAATCCAACGTAGATAAACATAAAACATAAATATCTAACTGACACGCTCAACACGACACACAAGAATGACACATCTATACGGAAAACAAACACTTTGAGCCCAGACGATGATCTCAATAAAGTTCGAAGCGTGGCACGATAAAGAAAATGTTTTTCTGAATCCAACTGATCTCCAAATAGTCATCAAGTAACGGTCACTAAACATCACCTATTTCATAGTTTGGACTAAGTTCAAAGAAGGGAGACCACCGTTCAACTGATCCTAGTTCAACTTCAATTTGGTAGAACTGGTTTTCGTCTCTTTTGCTGTTATACATAGTGATCGTAGTTATCATTGTTCACATTGTTTTATTGTGTATAGTATTTTTGTGTTTTTGTTTTTATACTTGCTTTTCTTTCATCAACTATGTCGGAGAAATTTTCGTTGACATTCCGAATTTATTTTTTAAAAACATTATTTTTCTCTCCTTTAAAAAAATATATTGGGTTTTTTTTTATCACGCATGATTATTATTTCTAATTCAGATTAAAGTTTATCTTGAAAATTTAATGCATAAAAACCCTTTTGTATATATTTTTTCATGTTTACACGAGATGAAAGGAATCAAATGAGATTATTCAGTTCATTTTTATTTCCTGCTGAGTCATGATTATAATATTATCGATGCTTTATGCAAAGCTTTGTTATTTTTTTGCCCTTCCCCTCCTATTCTTTCTTGTCGCTTACAGGTTTTCCTCCAGTGTTTAGTTTGCGCTCGATTCAAATCGTTTAGAAATTTATTTTAACCGAAAAACATGGACATCTACACATCTATCAAGGAATTCTTTACGTTAGAGCCAGAACAGGATTGCGTTATCGATAATTTCGTGTTTCGCCTCAATTACAGGACGACATCGGCGATAATAATGCTTTGCTGGGCGTTCGTAACCGCAACGAATTTTGTCGGTTCCCCGATCGCCTGTTTGACGGAAGGAAACCCGGAAGACTTCATCGAACTTTACTGCATTACACATTCGACGTTTACAGTGCCGGATACGAGGAAGTTGAACCCTAGATTCAAAAGCGACGAAGTTTCTTATCAAAAATACTATTTGTGGGTCCATTTAGTCCTGTTCGTTCAAAGCTATTTGTTCTATTCGACCGGCTGGATTTGGTCCTCTTGGGAAGGAGGCAAGGTGCACAAATTGAAAAGCATATCTAAAACAGCTTTACTTGACTATTTCAGCTATAAAAGAGGAAATCATAACTCCTACGCTTTTGGTTTTATAATTTGCGAATTTCTCAGTTGTGCTCACGTGGCTTTGCAAATCTACCTAATGGACAGGTTTTTCGACGGGGAGTTCACTTATTTCGGCGTGAAAGTGTTTCAGATTCTCTTCTTGGATTTCGGCGAAAGGGACGACGCCCTTGAAAAAGTCTTCCCGAAGCTTGTGAAATGCACATTCGAGAAATTCGGCTCATCGGGGACGAAGCAGGTCTACGACAGCCTCTGCCTTCTGACTATGAATATCATCAACGAGAAAATCTTCTCGGCATTGTGGTTCTGGTTCGTTTTCCTGTTTGTCGCCTCCTTTCTCGCCTTGGCTTACGATCTGGCTTCAGTGGTTTCGAAGAATTTTCGTTATTTTGGCTCGAGACTTTTAGAATGGCCATCGGCTAAAGCGGCTAAGAAATTAAACTTCGGCGACTGGTTTCTACTCTGCCAGCTCTCAAAAAACGTAGATCAAAACGTTTTTCACATACTATTGGAGCACATTGAAAACGAACTGTAAATATAAATTATTAATAAATTTTAATCTTAGTAAATAAACTTCGTTCCTATACAATAACAAAAATTTTGGCAAGTTTTACAATACGCGCGAGGCGCAATAAGTTCACTGAGAATAGTTGTTTGCTATTCTCTTCACTGAGAGTTCAACATAAAATGTACAACCTACATACTGCTAGAACTATTAAAACATAGTTTAAACCCTTCTCATTTTTTTTTATATTACGAAGAAGAATATTAAAAAATATTTGATTGTTTTAAGACATATTTTATGATGATGATATGGAAGGAGACTACAGCCTTCCGTTATATTGCACATTTCCTAGTTCCTTAGGTTATTTTTTCAGATTTTTTAAAAGGTTATTGGTCATTAAATATTAAGACTACAAGTCAGCGGTGCAGCCCGGCCCCATCAGGGCGAAGCCCCAGGGTACCCAGGCCCATTGGCACATCCAGGCCTGGAAAATGCGGAATCCCACGGATCTCGCGCAACTAATGCTTTTTTTTATCTTATTGCGCGCAGTCAGTGTTTCGTCACTATCGACACTTCCTCTAAAATCACTGGAGATTTCTTAAACACAGTTCGGATATGCGCTCGTTAATCCAACCCAAGACCGATGAGCACCCGAGGCCCAGGACGGCCGTCGCTACAACTTAGCCTCACCACCCAGGGAAAACAAGAGTTTTAACAAGAGGAAATTAAATTTTATCTACTAGTTGGATGTCTGTTAAGACGTTAAAAATCTTGTTTATTGATGATGAGTCGTTTATTATGAATTGTAGGTCTTTGGGGATTTGGTGGTGGGATCTTTCAGAGGTGTGTAAAGGATCAATTATGGTGTGGGATGTAGTGATAGGAGGTGTACAGAGTGGACATTTACAGGTTTAGTTCTTTCAAGTAGGAAACTATGGATGAGCTGGTAGTGGCCAATTCGAATCTAGGTTAGGAGGGTTTCTTATTTTTGGGAATGTCTGGAAAAGGATTTCCATTTTTATACTTATTTAATTTTTGCGTCGAGTTTGTTTGCTGTGCAGGCATCCCATTCACGCCTCCAAACCTCCCAACAAGCTGCCTAAATTGACAACAGAGGAAAAAAACCCACTGCGAGGAGTACCATTTGACGGGGCCTCTCTTGAAATTCTATCCGCCTTTTCATTTTCAGTTATGCCACCTGGAATCCATGTGAATAATACTTTTTATGCGTACGCCTTGTTATAATTTCAATTTTGTAAGAATATCCTGGGTTGAAAGAGAAGATTTTTAGTGTGGTGAGTGCTGAAAGAGAGGAGATACGAATGATATAAATGAAGTCAATTGCTTTGTGTATAGCTAGGAGTTCAGCAGTAAGTAGTTAAGTTTGATTGATTTGATCTTTGACGTAAGAAGTATTAGGTCATTGTTGCAAATCTTTCTTCCGGGTATGTTTGGTTTATAGGTTTGTATGAGTTGCGTTTGATTACTTTGAGGTATTGTTTTTTTAATAGGTTTTGCAAAACCAAAGGTCATATCAACCCTCGCGGTATCGTCGGTTCTATGCTGTCCTTTCAAATTATGATTCGTATATTCCAAGTCAGTCCTTTGTCTTGAAATAACCCTAGGTAGCGGATGTTGTTTGATGATAGGAAAAATGGTGAGGTTTTAAATAAATTGGGGGTAGAACGACTAGGCGGAGGGGGAACGGTATGTTTTGAGATTTTTTGATGTTTAGTTTGATTAATTTTGTTTAATTTGTAGTAAATTACGACCACTTTCGAGTATGTAACTAGTGAATTTAATAAGTTAGAATACCTTCACTAAAGCTCTCCGTGGACATTTCATTTGTCGTCGAGAATCAAGTAGATTACAGGACATTTGAAAAATGTCAAAAAGTAGGGAAAATTAAAAAAAGGTGGGGTTGAGATGGGAAGTTAGTGTCCGAGTGGATCGAGGTCACGATAGCTCAAGTGGTAGAGCAGCGGCGTATTTAGCCGAAGGTCGTNGATCGAGGTCACGGGAGCTCAAGTGGTAGAGCAGCAGCGTATTTAGCCGAAGGTCGTGGGTTCAGAAATATTAATTAATTGAAAAATTTTAATTGGTCAATCGGTCCATGAACTGTAATGGATTTAATAATTAAACTTAAATATATCATTACTAAACCTCTCCGCGGCCATTTTATTTGTCGCCGAGAATCAAATAGATTACACGGCATTTGAAAAATGTCAAAAAGTAGGGAAAATTAAAAAAAGGTGGGGTTGAGATGGGAAGTTAGTGTCCAAGTGGATCGAGGTCACGATAGCTCAAATGGTAGAGCTGCGGCGTATTCGAATCCGCTCGAGACACTGACTTTTTTTTCTCAACTAAAAATCTTAATAAACTGAAAGATATTAATTGGTCAAGCGGACAACGAAACCTAATGAGTTATTTAGAATACTTAATGTGGTAATATATTGACAAAACAAACAGTTAAAATTTCGCAGTCTTCAATGTAGTCAAAGCCTCTAAAGTATATTTTGCTTGATTACAAAAGTTTTAACCATTCGTATTTATTTGATAACAATCTACAACCGATGTTCAAAATCGAATGAATTTTATTGAAAATTTTATTCCAAAGCTTAAACGATAACGATGTGCCTTTATTTTTTTTTTAAATCAAAGCGTAAACAACAAACATCAGTTATAAATATACAAGTTAACAAAAACACGTCTGTTTTGGTGAATGTTGCATCAGCTTATCAACGAATAACCTACTTTCATTGTGTAAAAGAGAAAACCCATGTATCCAGAATAATTTTTATGCTTTTATCATGCATTTGTTTACGTATTGTCATAAACATTACCTTAAAAATGTGTAAATTTGTTTATTATTATATTTTATATCGTACATTGGTTATTAATATATTCTGATATTAGGCACTTTATCGTATTAATTAAAAATTAGACTAAAACGGCTTCCAGGCCAGACGTACGATTTTTTCAAAAACAATTCTCTTGACACAACGATTCTTGAAAAAAAATTGTGCTCAGTCGAATAGAAGTCAAATTTACAATTTTAACGGTGTTATCTAGCATAACTTGACAACTAGTAGAGTTTGACCAAAATTTAAAAAAAAATTACCTATTTAATTTCGGTCAATTGCTGCTTTAATAGCAGTTTCTCCTATGCTTTTCCTTTTATCATTCTCACTGTTGATTGTTTCTGACATGATGGTTTATGAGACAAGATAATATTTTTGTGAAATTCTTGCAAATGTTTTTTGCTACTCAAAGATACATTGGATATTAAGGTCGTAGTAAGTAAGGCCGCGATAATTATGCGTACTTATTTATTGCCCAAGCTGGGTGATTTCAGTCCACAATTAAAAATATATTTGAATTAATTAAAGTTTTGGTTGAAATAAAAATATAGATATTTGGTCAAGCGGACCACGAAACCTAATAAAATGTAATAAGCAAAATGAAGTATATCTTCACTGAAGCTCTCCGTGGCAATTTCATTTCTCGCCTAAAATCAAATAGATCACACGACATTTGAAAAATGGCAAAAAGGAGGGAAAATTCGAAAAGGTGGGGTTGAGATGGGAAGTTAGTGTCCGATGGAAGTCACGACAGCTCAAGTGGTAGAGCAACGGCGTATTTAGCCGAAGGTCGTGTATTCGAATCCCGCTCGTGACACTGACTTTTTATCTCAACCAATACCTTTCATAAATATTATTAGAACGTCTAATTCAACATGTAATACTTTCTCCGGCTAAAAAATCAGTAATTGTTGTTTGTAAATTGCATTTGAACAAGCATTTGACTAAAAAAAAATTCTCTAAATTTTAACAATCCACTGATACTGCTTTCTTTATACCCAAGCTTTACTTAATTACTTTTTATATAATAAAACGCAAAGGTAAATTTAAAAAATGAAACAATCGGTATTAAAGGCAAACAATTCGTTACCAATCAAGAAAAAATGTGACTTTCTAAGTTATAAATAAGCGTGAAGGTTCACGACATTTGAAAAATGGCAAAAAGGAGTGAAAATTCAAAAAGGTGGGGTTGAGATGGAAAGTTAGTGTTGATTCAACGTGTAATACGTTCTCCGGCTAAAAAATCAGTAATTGTTATTTTTAAATTGCATTTAAACAAGCATTTGACTAAAAAAAACTCTCTACATTTTAATAATCCACTGTTACTGCTTTCTTTACACCCAAGCTTTATTTCATTGTTTTTTATATTATACGCAAAGGGAAATAACAAAATGGAACAATTCGTATTAAAGGCAAACAATTTGTTGTCACTTAAGAAAAAATGTGACTTTCGAAGTTATAAATAAGCGTGAACGTTCACGACATTTGAAAAATGGCAAAAAGGAGGGAAAATTCAAAAAGGTGGGGTTGAGATGAGAAGTTAGTGTCCGAGTGGATCGAATTCAAGATACCTCAAGTGGCAGAGTACCTGCGTATTTATACGAAGGTCGTGGTTCGAATCCCGCTTGTGACACTGACTTTTTATCTCAACTAAAAACCTTAATTAATTGAAAAGAATTTATTTGGTCAAGCGGATTCAAACCTAATAAAATATAAAAATTAAAAATATAGATATTGATGTGCTGTTTGAAACCATTTTGTGTTTGTTAAAAATTTCATTAAGAATAAATAAGAAAGTCTACTTGAGATTTGGTTTAAACCCAGTGTATTTTATATTAGATATTTTTAAATACTTCATTATTCATTATATTCAATTTCTTAATGGTGTCTTCTTTAATTTGAGGAATTTTTCCAGCATGAGGCCATCATAAAGTGAAGCACTTAATTATATCATATTACAGTTGAAAAACAAAATATTTCCCGACGATATTTTGCATACTGAAGTTTGATACGGAACATCGATGGGTTCAGGGCTAAGTGAATCCCAACGCCAAGCGGCTCGGATTACATTATCACCGAGAGAGTGAAGCGTCCTTCAACGAGAGGGGTTTTGTTGTGGCTCGTGGATCGGTGAAATACGTCCACAAAGCGACCCACTTCAACTGGAAAAGTTTTTCATCTTCACACGGTGAATATTGAACATAAAAGCTTTAACGCATTCCTTGACTTGACCTGTTTGCCTTGGCTTTGTGTACTTGTTTTCTTTGTATGCAGGGGCTTGTCCTCTTATACCGAACAAATAATAATTTCTGGCTTTTTTTAACAACGGACCTCTTTCAAAATAATGATCTCAAAGAAACAT